ATGAAACTTTGCTTAAACTCCGCCAATTGCTAAAGATTGCGCTTCGCAAGAGAAAATGTAGTCCCGATTTTATTTCGTGTATAACTAAAAAAACGACGGTGTATTTAAAATTTAAAAACAAGAAATAGAGGGACAAGAATGATTAATTGATAAGGAAACCTGCAAAATGGCACAGCTAGTTCAAGACATTAAAAAGTTTTAAAAAAAGGAATATCATTTTACATACTTAAAGGCACGATACAAGCAGAATTGCTATTACTGAATATTTAGTTACTGCATAGTCATAATAGCCATCAGTATGCCTCTATAGGATAGAGCATGTCTCGCTCCATTTTGATGCTGATGTCACAATAGCGCTTTATTTGTACCTGTAAATATTCATATGTGTTTTCCAATTTCATTACTTTTTTTAAGAGACATTTTTATACATATCCTTCTATGTATTTTTACTCATTTTAATAGAACACCGACACTTTCAGATGTGAAATGTTGTATTTAGGTGTTGCTGGGCTCTGCCTTTTGAGTTCTGTTCACTATATGCCAAGGTGAGGTCAGTCATCACACCACTAATAAAAAAATTACTGGTTCGTTTTTTCCAGACCAATGAAATCCACAAGCTGTGTATCTCCCCCAAGGAACACACTACAAAATGTATTTTTCATTATTATTTTTTTTTCCATTTTATTACTTACGTAAGTACAATAATTCCATCAAATACAGATAATAATAGTAAAGTATTTTTTACGAGGAAGGATACATTTAGAGTTCTCTAGTTTTCAATTATATTTTGGGGTGTATATCACAGACCATTTGAATTTAAAGGACTTCTTTCGATATGAGATGTACAAAGGGTTTCACTGCAAAGCAGCATAAAATCTCACTCTATACACATATCCCTACCCCAGAAATGAATCACGCTCTAAAGCAGGGTTGTCTAATCTGTGGTTGGACTATGACACCTGTGATTATCTACCAGCTAGTAGGAAATGTAGAAAAACCAAAGATGGACAACCCTGCGATTACTCCTTTGTGTGCCAAAGCTTTGCACTCATCTGGCACTCAATGGTCCCATCATCAGAGAGAGGCGATGACGGCCCTATCAACGTCCTGAGTAAATAAGTAATTGCACAAATTGAGATTTTGTATATATGTATGTCATTGTGATTTTTTATTTTTTTTTGTTGCTATTAAGTGTTCTGCTAGTGATTTTACTAAGGTTGGCCAAACATAGCCCCAGATGCTGATGTGGGCAAAGGGTTAAATACCTCTCCGCCCCCCTCCCCTCCTCTCTCTCTCTCCTCCTCTTTGTTTTCTTTTTCATATGCCAAAACCAGAAATGGGTCGAACGCCATTCAACGAGCGAACAAAAATAAAATTACAAAAAAAAAAACTATCGTACAAAAGACTGAACTGATATCTGTACGAAGAAAATTCTACAAAAAAAAAAAAAAGACAATGAAAAAAATTAAAATGAATATCGCAACTTGTGGAGTGAAAGAAACACACCAATAAAATCCTTTTGATTTCTGGCTGTTTGTCTGTAATATCTGTAATATAGACTTGAGTATTGTTATAGGTCTGAAAAATGTTTTAGACTGAATCTAGATTTTAGTCATGTGAGTTGAGGATTGGGATAAACTGTTCATAAGGGAAATGGCCTTGTTTTTAAGTGAGATTGCCACCTAATGGTGAATTGTGAAGTAGTTGTTTCTTTCTACATTGCAACCTGGTTCTCTCTCTGACTATGACTGGAGTTTTTCGTACAAGGTAAGATGAAATTGACATGTGTGTGCATGTAAACTAGCCTATTACGATCCTTCATTATTTTTAGGTTTTTGCACTATATTGTTTTTCAGTGTATTACAACTGCCACACTCGTTGAAGCAGTTAAATACAAAATTAACCCTACAAGGCCAACAACCTTCCAGAAAGTCAAGATATTAAGGCATTTACCCGATTCTTAAGAATTTTACTGCCACAAAAAATCTAGATTTTTTTAGTTGTTTAGTAAATGCCAATTATTTTTACAATGCAGTATAAAATGTTTATTGTAATGGGAATCTTCCATTAAAAATAAAATATATACATTTACAGTAATATATATATATATATATATTTGTGGTCTGGATCAATAAGCCGTGTTATAGTAGACTTGTAGGCCTGTGTGACGGAGCTCCTGTAATCCAATCGAGTACCTCTGCCCAGTCCGCTTCTTAGCCGCTTGGCTGGGGTCTCTCGGGAGCTCTTCCCCCATAGCAATAGTCCAGGCTCCTACATAGAATATTCATGTGAAACCCCAGGTGATGGTGGCTACCGTCACAGCCTGTAAAAAGAGGGCCCATCAAAATTAAATGGCTTGATAAAGGAAGCGGTGGGTAGGCTGAACCAGGAAGTATCGGCCTAGAGGCAGGGAAGGTCTGTGTATTTATAGGACAGTTAATCCTACCCACAACTGCCGTCTCTGCCTACAGGCTCAACCTTTATATATATATATATATATACGTCCCAGGTCCCAGCACTCAATCCTTCCGGTCTTTTAATGCTCCGGTGCTGTCTCCAACCAAATTGTATACAATACCAGTAGAGAGCACTCAGGAGTCTTTCAAGGTAAATTTCATCTGTTGCTTTATTGAGCAATTACAAATTCACACAACGTTCCAGTCGACGTTTCAGTCTGTAAAATACTTTAGTATTTTACAGACTGAAACGTCGACTGGAACGTTGTGTGAATTTGTAATTGCTCAATAAAGCAACAGATGAAATTTACCTTGAAAGACTCCTGAATGCTCTCTACTGGTATCGTGTATATATATATATATATATATATATATATATATATAGCCCAAATGTATGCTAGCACTCAAGGTCTTTAAAAAATGTATTTTCTTTATTCATACATAAATCGAAAAAAACAATGCTCGACGTTTCAGTTCATCTATGTGAACTTTGATCAGGACATATATATGTCCACACCACACTGGAGGTATAGCTAAAGCAGAGATTACACTCCACTTTAGCCATACGATACCAGCTATAGGTGGCTGTGATAGGATGAGAGTGGTCGGCTGATGCTCTAAGCCAATATCCGCTGCCCATGGCTGCTCATGCAAATACACATGAATGAGCCTGAGGAGCAAAGAGGGGCTGGATTGAACTGTAAGCCACCAGGGATCCTTATCCAGTGTTAAACCAATCCGATACAATGATCCTCGCTGTCGAGCATTGGGAAGTTGATACACATGCGCAGCAAACTCCACGCGAGCATCCAAGCTTTCCCATACGAAAACATTGTATTCAATATTTTCCTGTGTGCTTCCATTTGATGTTGTTGAGTTTTACTCGGCCAGGGCAGGGGAGGCTCCTCTAGAAGTGGCTTAAACTTGCAATGTAAACATTGCAGTTTCTTAAAAAAAAGGGCTAAAGGACGGTGTGGTGCCTGAGGGATGTTAATGAAGACAAGTGTTCCACCTAGATTTCTTAGGTTGTGAAATGCCTTGTAATCCGTGGGTTTAGGAGTTCTGAGTTTACAGCCGAGTATATGGCTGCATCATTAAGGTTATGGCCAGGTATATGCCTCAAATCAGAGGACTTGTCAAGCTACAATAAGAACTCAAGAACACTCAGAGTGCTTGCCACATCCAACAGGTAAGCATGGACCAATACATTTGTATCCAGCTGAAAATTAAGATTTGAGGTATTTTCTGATTTCTGGATCTCCCTGGTGCCATTATAAATATCCGCTGACACTAAAATTAAATTACATGAGAGTGGGCAATAAGCCATTAAAGCCCTGTAATATATGATATCCTGGCCTATCATGTTGTAGTTAAGGAGTTAAAGGGACACTCCACTGCCCAAATACAAGATTAATTAAAATCACTGTTTAGTTGATACTCCCACTATGAAAATATGCATGCATTTACTTATGCATTTTTTCATTGGGGATATATATATATATATCTAGGAACCGCTTGTAAAAGCTGCAGATCTCTTACCTGCAGCCTTCGCAAGCCCTCCCCTTCTAACCTCACCCAGAATTTCTGTGGCTGTCCAATCACAGGCTTTCCAATGCAGCTCAATGAGAATTTGTTGCAGGTGCTCTGGGCTATTGTTGCCTCTTTAGTTTCCCTCTACCGAGCTAACCAAACCAGGAAGTAAAATGACCTGTTCTCTGCTTGAAAGCCATGGGGGTGTAATCAGGTTGATTTATAACCATGTCAATTTCTATGGAAATGTGCAATTTTTGAAAAATTAAATAAAAATAGCACACACTTTTCACACATGAAGCTTTTCAACAAGCGTAAGTGCTTTAGGGATCTGGAGTGTCCCTTATTTATTCGTAGGATAATATCAATGTTAACCTTAAAAGGGGGGTTTTGGAATACACATCTGTAAGAACCAGCTCTTCCCAACATCCAGAGATAATTTACGTAATCAGAAAAGCCTCCATGTCCTGTACTGATTATATAAGCTAACTTTAGGTTTTTATGTGACTATATTAAATGGCAAATTAAGAACACCCTCCTTGAATAAAAATGTGTTAATATATCAAATGTGCTCCATTATCATGTATATCTTTACTGTATGCAAAATGCACTGCAATTTACATCAGCCTCAGTGAAGATGATGTGGGCAAACTTTACGTTACTGGCTGGTTTCTATGTATCTGCCTACAGATCAGGTAATGAGCACCGTGACGGTAATCTGTGAGGATTGACACAACACATCTTAAAGGGACACTATAATAATCAAAACAACTTTAGCTTAACGGTGCATTTATCATGCCCCTGCAGTCTCACTGGTCAATTTTTTGCCATTTAGGAGTTATATCCCTTCACTGCATGTAGTATGCACAGCCTAATGTTTAAACGTCCTTTTTTGCAAATTCTGTTTAATTTAGAATTTCTTATCTCATTCTCTGTTAATAGCCATTTAGCCTCCTGTGTGTAACTAAAGTTTAATTTACAGAGAAGGAGATAACGAGAGAGAAAAAACTTCTAAAGCAAGTTAACATCTGAATAGAAATTAAACTAATTATTTTTTTTTTAATGCAGGCTGTGTGAGTCACAGCCAGGGGAGGCGTGGCAAGGGATGCATAAACAGAAACAAACTGATTACATATCTAAATGGCAGAGAACTGAGCAGTGAGACTGTGTAGGGCATGATCTATACACAAAAACTGCTTCATTAAGCTAAACTTGTTTTGGTGGTTATACTGTCCCCTTAACTCAAGAGACTGCCAAAGTACCATAATCACCTCTACTTAATACTGTGAATTTGGGACATATATGCTGCCCCTGTACATGAAAACATTTTCATTTCTATAAAACTGCAATGTTTCCATTTTGCAATTACTAGTAGCGTCATCCATCTAGAATATCAGTCAATGAGGTCAATATGAACCTTATAGAACTATCATTAGGATACCCAGACATTGTTTAATGGAATTAACACTGATGGCATTTAGAGTTTAGTGATCAGACTTGCTAGTGTTATAAGATAGGATAATTAAAAATTGATCTATGCCTTCCCAATAACATCATTCAATGTATCAAAGCATGATGTAATGGAATAAGGTAACCACTAGGGGCAGTGTAAAAGGGTGTTTGGCTGCATAGGAAATCCAAAATGGCCAACAGCAAAACTATGCTTGAAAAAAAAAAAAAAAAAGGACGTTTCTTTGTTAAGGGCTAGCAGTTCTCTCTGAATGTGCCCCTTCGTGTACATGTATCAGAATGGGGATGGAAACGTTTAGAATTCAGTTAAGGGCTTAGATATACATTGAATAAATCAGATTTCTCATCGCCCTTGTAGCTGTGCAGGGTAAAGAGGGGTTATCTAGGCAATAAGGCACATGATTCTGTATTGTTCATGATGCACAACCTGTGAGTATGTGTGAGTCTACTGTAACATGGTACACTTTTTTTTTTTTTTTCATTTCTCTAATTGCTATTATTATCGGTATTTATATAGTACCAAATTATTACGCAGCGCTTTACAATATTAATAAAGGGGAAATTTAACAATTAATGAGACAATTACAAAATGCTACAGGATCAATATATTAATGAGGGCCCTGCTGAAACGAGCTTGCAATCTATAACAACACTTTTAGGAATATTGTTCCATATTAGAGGTGGTAATTAATACAGTAATCCATTCTATCCACAGATTTGACCACTATAGCATAAAACATATAGGTTTGCTGTAACTTAACGGACCATAATATTTGCATATTAATAGTTAGCACCAATTACAACTGAACAAAAGCTACAATATCTCTATAATTTTCATTTTAGGACCGATAGGGAAATTCAGTTAAATACATTTTAAAGGAATCTTGCTAGCCATGTTAGATCTTGGGGTTGGGGGGATGTTCACGAAAGTATCCACAGAAGCCATGTCACCATTTTAGTGGAGGCCTGTGCTGAGGTTCGTGTTGTAAAGGATGGTGTCCCCGATGTATTTGGCATCATAATAAGTTGCAAGGCACTGTCACACAAGTCCCTCAGCTTCTGTTAGAATTTAATTATATTTGATATCTCTGTAAATGGGTCGTCCCTCTAGGTACCCACCAAATAGTAAATGTCAGTCTGTTGTTTGTAGACACAGTGTTGGTAACCGCTTGGTTCCTTCACATGTTCTTGTTGAAACCAAAGGAATAATAATCAGCTACCTGTATAGAGTATCAGGGAGGTGTCTATCATCTTGGAGGACTTAGAATGCAAGGCACATGGTTCGTAGGGTGTATAGTAAGCAGTGTTTCCGACAACCCAGTAATTAGTTCATTTTGAAGATGCTATGCAGATTTATTCATATTAGTATTTATTAAGCATGTTATGAAATGAAAAAGCATTAGTATTGTGCTTCGCTGGAAATGGAACTCATAATAATATACAAATAAACAACTTAAACCTTTGCAGGTCTACAAGCAGTCTATGTTCCCAAATTGCAAAAAAAGAGAAAAAAGAAAGAAAAGAGAAAAGAAAACAATGGAAAAATGGAAGTGGAGTATAGTGTCCTTCATTAAAGGGACACTATAGTCACCAGAACAACTACAGCTTATTGAATTTGTTCTGGTGAGTCAAATCATTACCCTCAGGCTTTTTGCTGTAAACACTGTCTTTTCAGAGAAAATGCAGTGTTTACGTTACAGCCTAGTGATAACTTCACTGGCCACTCCTCAGATGGCTGTTAGAGATCCTTCCTGGGTCATGGCTGCCTAAAATGCATCCAGGGGCGGACTGAGCACTCGGGCAAATCGGTCATGGACCGAGGGCCCGAGGCTCTGGGGGGCCCGCCCCTGCTGCAGTGCAGTAATGGCTGAGCTGGGGAGTAAAACAATCTCCCCAGCCAGCCTGCACTCAGTAAGGGGCCCGCACAGCCTTCCGCGGGCCCCTGCTGCTAAAAATATAATCCCCCTTGCAGGGCACACTGAGGGACAGCTAAGGGGCCTTCCAAAGACCCCACTAGGCTGCCCTCAGTGTGCCTGTCTCACTGAACACAGCCTCACTGAGCTGCCTGTAACTGCTCAGGGCAGCTCCGTGCAGCTTGTTCTGCAGGAAGTGACATCAGCAGTCACAGTGCAGAGTGAGGAGCTGCCCTGAGCAGACTAACAGGCAGCATGTCAGCATTGTGTGCCCTCCTTCAGAAGAGGACCACCAGAGAGGTAAGGTTTGGGAGGGGGGCTTTATTTTTTTTAAATTAAAATGTGTTATTATATAATTTCCCCCACTACTGCCCCATCAGAGCCCATACCCCCCTTACTCCCAGTGCATCCCCTACCTCCCTGCTCCCACTGCATCCCCTACCCCCACTTGCTCCCACTGCATCCCCTAGCCCCCTCCCACTGCATCCCCTACCCCCCCTGCTCCCAGTGCATCCCCTCCCACTGCATCCCCTACCCCCTCCCACTGCATCCTCTGCCCCCACTGCATCCCTCTCAGCCTGCACCCCCCACGCCTCGGCCTCCCAGTGCATCCCCTACCCCCCTGCTTCCACCCCATCCCCTATCCTCCATTGCATCCTCTACTCCCCTGCTCCTAATTCTGTGCACCCCCTGCCCTAGTGCATCCCTCAGCCCCTGCTCCTGCATCCCCAACCCTGCTCCCAGTGTATCCTCAGCCCCTGCTCCCAGTGCATCCTCTAGCCTCTTGCCCTAGTAGTGCATCCCCACCCCCTCCCAGTGCATCCCCTACCCCCCTGCTCCCAGTGCATCCCCTACCCCCCTGCTCCCAGTGCATCCCCTACCTCCCTGCTCCCACTGCATCCCCTACCTCCCTGCTCCCACTGCATCCCGTACCCCTCTGCTCCCACTGCAGCTTTTACCTGCTGCTCCCACTGCAGCTCCTACCCCCTGCTCCCAGTGCATCCTCTACCCCCCTGCTCCCAGTGCATCCTCCTCTAACCTCTGCTCCCAGTGCATCCCCACCCCCTGCTCCCTCTGCATCCCCATGTACCCCCCTGCTCCTCTGCATCCCATACCCCCTGCTCCCTCTGCCTCCCATACCCCAAGAAGTCTCAACCCCCTGCTCCCACTTGCAGCCCCAACCCCCTGCTCCCAGCCCCAACCCCTGCCCCTTTCCCTGCATCCCATGCCCCCTGCTCCCTCTCTGCATTCCATACCCCCTGCAGCCCCAACCCCTGCTCCCACTGGGAAACGCCCCAACCCCCTGCTCCCACTGCAGCCCCAACCTCTGCTCCCCCTGCAATCCTGCCACCCCTCTGCATTCCACATACCCCCTGCAGCCCCAACCCCCCTGCTCCCACTGCAGCCCCAACCCCCCTGCTCCCACTGCAGCCCACACCCCCTACAGCCCCTACCCCCTACAGCTCCTATCTCCCTGCTCCCTCTGCAGCCCCTACCTCCCTGCTCCCACTGCAGCTTTTACCTGCTGCTCCCACTGCAGCTCCTACCCCCTGCACTGTGCGCAATAGTAGGGTTTCGCTTTGGTAGTGGCTAGTGGGCTACCCAACTGCTCCCACTGCATCTCTTATTACCCTTTGCACCCACTACAGTCTGTCCCTCCTCTGCACCTACTACAGCCTCTAATCCACCCTATTCCCCCGTATCCTCTACAGTCCCTCCCCTGCAGCCCCTTCCACTCGCACCCTTTACAGCCCCTTCCTTTCGGCACCCTCTGCAGTCCCTACCCCTTTGCACGCACAAACATAAAGGGACACTATAGTTACCAGAACAACTACAGCTTAATTTATATTATACAGCTTAATGTATAGTAACAGCTTAATGTTTATTATATAGCTTAATGTAGTTGTTCTGGGGAGGATAGTATACTACTGCAGGGTTTTTGCTGTAAAGACTGCCTTTTCAGAGAAAATGCAGTGTTTACATTGCTTCCTAGGAACACCTAGGCGCTTCCTGTGTCAGTATTGCAAAATGTGCAGCACTGACATTCAGCATCTCCATGATCTGCATGTCGACGCTGAACGCTTGTCATAGAGAAGCACTGATTCAATGCATCTCTATGATGGTGATTGGTACAGCGTTTTGCTGCGCGTGCACAATAGCCTTCTAGTGCTTTCCTATGGTAGAGCATTGGGTTGGCTGAGATCATCTAAATTGATGAACTCTGCCAAGTAGTTTGGTCGGTGCTGGGAAACAGGTGAGTAAATCGCATTTTTAAGGGGGGGAATACACATTTGTATTCCTGACACTATAGTGTTCCTTTAAAGGGACACTCCAGGCACCCAGACCACTTCTGCCCATTGGAGTGGTCTGGGTGCCAACTCCCACTACCCTTAACCCTGCAAGTGTAGTCATTGCAGTTTTTATAAACTGCAATAATTACCTTGCAGGGTTAACTCTTCCTCTAGTGGCTGTATACTAGACAGCCACCAGAGGGCACTTCCTGGTCTATAGCACAGGATTTCTGTGCTATAGTGTCGCTGGACGTCCTCACGCTGTGTGAGGACCTCCAGCGTCGCTAAAATTCCCATAGGAAAGCATTGAAAAGCATTTTCAATGCTTTCCTATGCAGAGGTCTAATGCGCCTGCGCGGCATTGCCGCGCATGCGTATTAGGTCTCCCCCGACGGCTGACGTGATGAAGGGGAGGAGCATGAGCGGAGGAAGAAGCAGCGACGTGGGACATCTCGCTGCCTCTGGTAAGTCACTGAAGGGGTTTTCACCCCTTCAGCAACCGGGGATGGAAGGTGGGAGGGAGAGGGGACCTGCAGTGCCAGGAAAACGGATTGTTTTCCTGGCACTGGAGAGTCCCTTTA